CCCCAAAACCCCAAAACCCCAAAACCCCAAAACCCCAAAACCCCATTACTTAATGATTTATTATGATAATTGATTAGATTGGTAAATAAAATCACTTAGGCCATTTATATTTTTATTTAAGATGGATTTCATTTAATATGTCATGAAAAATGCTGCTAGTATCTCATATCAGATCAGTTTCTGCTTTTATTCCATTAAAGGTATCTGAAGCCTTGCTAACTTGGTCTCCATTAGGAAAAGTTAGAATCTTCTATAGTTAATCTAACCTATTGAGCTAATACAAGAATTTGAATTCAATCATTCGAAACCTGACTAACTGAGGTTCCAAGTATTGATATCCCTCTATTACTGCGTCGTGGTTCTCTTGCTTCAAACTGGTAATCTCCATTCAGAGCTTATTCAAAATTTGTGTCCCATATAGATAATATTTGACAGTTACTTCCTAATTTGTATCTGCTTTTCTAATGAAACTAGTTTGCTATTAATAATTATATCAAAAATACTTTACCAAATAAATTTTTTCTACCTTTAAATTGAAATGGAAGATTAAAACTATATGCTATTAATTTAGCCCCATTCAAGTTTGAAAATTCAAAATGAGTTTATTCGCTCTTGTGGCAATGATTTTAAATTTTTCTTTAAGATAACTTTAAAGCAACCATTGTAAGTATTCTTAGTGTAAAGACTAAATCCAACTAAAAATAGATACTACAATGGCTTTTGACTTGATGGAATAATAGAATACAATTAAATCCTAACTATTTTCGACCATCATAGATCTCTAGTAATTACACTCTAATAACTTCTTTAGCATGATTCCTAAATGATTAGTTGGAATTTAGATGAGTTAAATAATGCCGAGAATAGTTCATGATAGATTACAGGCAGACAAAAAGTAATCATAATAAATCTATAACATAAAATACATATAGATAGACTCAAATTCTTATCTAAACAGGTGATTTAAAAGAGAAATCCTATTATTAGAACAATAATAATTATATTATATATTTTCGACATGTTTAGGATTTATCCTTGAAAATTTCACAGATCACTTAAAATAGAACAAGAATAAGTAATGGTACTTGAGTACTTAAATACAATTTATAATTGAAACTTCCTAAAATTTTTGATTAAAATGAACCTAGGGGTTTTGGGGTTTTGGGGTTTTGGGG